GCCCCCCATGAGCCATTTTCCCTCCAAAAAGTTCAGCGACAGATGAGAGGGAGAGAGACTCCATTTTCAAGTCAACTTTTTCTGGTCTTTTGTGGATATTGGATTTGTTTGTCTGCTGCTGCAGATTCAGAGTTTGTGATCTTTGTTTTTTGTTTTTTAAAATGCAAAGCTTTTGGGTTCAGTTGACGATGAAAGTCAATTAACATTAAATACCAAAAACAAAAACTTTAAATCAGTATAAATAAAGGAGTGGACTATGAGTTCATCACAAAAGGTTGTGGGGGAGAAAGAAAGAAAGAAAAAGGTCGAAGTCCTTACTGATAGAGTAATATTATACAATTTAATGATTTAATTTGAATTCATAAATCCTCGCCTGTTTTGTTAGTTGATGGTTTTGGCAATGTTAATGCATTATATAGGAGACGTAGCTATACAGACATCAAAATTAACACTAAATTAATCCTTTCTTTCAAAATATTTTTAAAAATTAATTGAGTATTAAATTCAATCATTATTACAATATATAATAAATCATAAAATTTTAGTATATTTAAATATAATTACCTTTAATTTAGAGATTGAAAATTTTGAATATATTTGTATATTAAAAAAGTTTTTTTTTGTTGTTGTTGAAAAAACAAGTTATTTGTACATATAAATTATTGCTCTAAGGTTGTTATTTTTGATTTTGATATTCTGCTGAATTTAAGAGCATTCATATATTGATTTTGATTTTTAAGAAACACGTTATATATACGTATATTGAATTATTGGTTTTAATATTCTTCTGAATTTAAGTGCATTCACCCATTCTGCTGATTTTGAAAATTATGAATAATTTATGCATTATAATTTGTATAATCATGCATTGAAAAACAAAAACATCTTAGATTTGATCTTCTTTTTCTGGATTGGGCTAATGCAAAGGTAAAGATCCAAACACTGGGTTATATTTTAAGCATCCTGGGTCATTTGCTTAGATTTGTATAAGCTTTTTTGGTTGCTGGTGTGAGGAAAGAGATGAAATAATGTTTTAATTTTGGGTAGGTAAAACTTTATTATAATTAGAAACAGGTGCAACAACAAACAAAGAGTCACTACTGATTAAATAACTCAGAGAATGTTGTGTCCGTAATACTTTTACAACTTAAAGAATGAATTTGTTTAGGTGTTTATCCAGCATTTGTAATTCTTATCGCTGATGGTTTGTTGGAGTTTTGGGCTTATATAGGAAGATGATTATGACAAATAATGACTTCTGATAGATGATTTAGCTTAATATGGTAGTGTGGTTGGTGGTCTATAAACGGAGAGGTGGGTGACATGAAATCCACAAAAAACGGAGGTTTTGAAGTTTATAAACGATGACGTCGTATATTCTATCAGACATGTCTTTTGAGAATGAAGTAATGGTCTGTGACAAGTGATAGCCTAATTTCACGCAGAACGCCCTAATGAATGGAATAAGTAGGGTGAACAACTATGATAATGGCCAGTGACGAGGGCATCACGAGATTTGTGGAGGAGAATGTCACGTCTTGAAAAATGGGAGACATGAACACCACATCGAAAATGAAAAAGGAGATCTTGAAGTTTAAATAGTAGTGTTGTACATCCTATCAGATGTTTTTTGAGAAGAAGATAATAATCCGTGTGACACGTAACCTTGATTAAAGAGATGATGTTTTTAAGAAAAGAATTACCTTTACATGATTGAGTGTAGGCTATAGCTAGCATGTGGCCTTCAAATGGCCTTGGTAGATTTTGATTGAGACTTGCTGTTGGACTTTATGTATGGTATTTCTCTCGGTCATGACAATGTTAGAAAGCTTGTAGAAGAGAAATTCTTTGCTTGAGTTGTCATCTTCTTATACATGTGGTTCGAGTGTCCCTTACATCCGCATCTGCTGTTAAAAGATTTGATGGGTTTTAATATAACCTAAGATACTTACTGCTGAAGTTTTTTGTGTTATATCGTCCTTTTGATTTGGATTGAGAGCTAATGAAACGGGACATATCTGTTTGATTCTATTTGTTTTGTTGTATGTGTGAACTTCTCATATGCTGTAAATTTCCATGTCCAGCTAGATTTTTTAGCTTGTTGCCGTCACTAGCGTGATTTCCTCGTCACGACTAACCGGTTGCCGCACAATTTCATTGCGAAGAAGAGTCAAGTAAATGAGGATGGATGCCTCTTTGCATTGTGAGAGCAATTGTTTTGTATCTTTGTGGTTAACATGAGACAAGCTTTGATAAGAGCCGTCTCTTGTGGGGTGAATTTGTCTCAATTTTAACCGTTACATGTCTATCATCAACATTGCACATCCTTGTGTTAGATGCACGGTTTTCAAAACTGGACCGGTCCGATTACTGGTTCAAGTAGAGACAAATGTATTAACTTAGACTGACAATGTATTGGATTGAACCCAAATTTGATGATCTTGAATTCGTTTGTAGATCGATTCAATTGTGACGTTCATTGTGTGTTTAACCTTAATCTGAGTAAGTTAATATCTTCACAAGTATGATTTGTAAACTTTGATGTATTGTAGACTAAAGTGACCTTAGAAGTACTGTGGAATTAAGTTTGTATATGGGGTATGCAACTTACGCATGGTGTCTTTGCTAATAAACACAGAATCATAGCTCTTACTAAAAGTTAGGACATTCTCTTTAAGGTAGTATATAGTTGATGTAAATAGAACTCGGTTATCATGTTCATATATTTTAGATTTTCTTATTCTTTGTATTTTTTATTGATAATATGTTTTCGCTTCTAAAATTTTATAAGTTTGTCTCATCTTAAAATTTTAAAAGTTCGTTCTCTAACATTAAATTTTATGTATGTCCCTAGTTTGTAATGACTTCCGTCAATGATTATTTACATCACGATACATGTTACATAATTTTGGAAAGAATAAAACCTTAATGCATCACTAGTGTCATATGAGGGCTACACACATATGACAAGGTCGTCTTCACCTTATTTGTTAACTTTAGTAGTGATATATAATATGGAGTTTAGTCTCGGGTTTTTAGTGGTAGTGGTAGACAATCAAGACTAATAGTTATGTAACTGATAGACGTAAAGTTAGAAATCAACTACATAAGTTTTTGTAGTCCAATTTATATAATATTTTTTTCCATCCGTTATCTTATTATATAACTCTTGATGATTTATGTTTAACACGACACCTGAACGAAATCGTGAACAATTGAATTAAAAAAAATATGTTATTGGATTGACTCACGAAGTATTAGGTATTTCTCGGATTAATAATTAACTTTTTTGTTGCCCTCTTGGTTCAAGAGTTTTATCCCGACTAATTATGATCGACATGTGTCGCACACCTGATTTTGTTGTTTGAGTTTCTCCATGGGAATTTTCTACATATAAAAGACCTCAAATTTAAGATCTGCGTAAACAATATCAAGCCCTTTATTCAATCCCACAGGAACGGATTAATGATTAATTTGATCTAAGTTTAATTGTTACTTTTGAAAATCATTTTATTAAATATTTGTTTTAAATTAAATAATAGATTTGGAGTGAAAAAAAATTAAGCGCTCATATTATCTAATTATTTAAAATAAAATAAAATCACTCATAATATATCGTGATAAAATCGTTGTGAATTTAACGTAATTAAAATATGTCATGGGTAACTTAATTAATTAGTAAATAGATTTAATTACTTTAATTAATTGGTCCATAAATGACTACTCCAAGGCTAATGTATTGTGCGCTTTATTTTGTTATATCTAAGTATATTTTAATCTAATCAACCTCTCTTAGTACATGTTCTATCGACTGGGTTGGAACTATACAAAACTCTACGTACTCATCATAGCATATATTTGACAGTGAGAGTTTAACTTTGAGATCGTTTTTGTGTTTGGAAAGGTGGTCACGCGCCTGTTAATTCGTTAGTTTGAAAATAATATGTAAGCTCAATAATTAAAAGCAAAGATCAAAAGTTTCCTTCGAATTGTTTAAGTCGATCGATATCTCAATTATTGCAACCTCACACTAACAAGTAAGAATGATTATAGTGAAATCTGTCTCTTGCTCGCCTCAAAAGGGTATTTTTCGGGATAACGACTCTCTTTAATCAATAAACACAATCCATCAATAAGTGAATTTGGTATGATGTTAAAATTTACTCTTTTATATTTATTTGAATAATTATTTTAATATTTATTTTAAATTTTAAAAGTATTTTAATTCTCATGAATTCAAATTTTGATCAGAATGATCCATGTTGGATAAATTTTGTTAGTTGACTAACGATCTATGCATGTTATTAACATGATATTTATACATGTATTTAATTGTTTATGTTCCATGTGTCATGTCATCATTATGAATGACATGATATGTGACACGTTAACAACATGTGTTGATGAATAATTAACCAATAATTTTGGTCCAACATGAATCATTTTGATAAAATAAAATATTTGCTTTAAAAAAATGTAGCTCTTGGTGTACCTTCTAATGCAAATCACACCCATATTGTCTCTATTATTATACATCATTTAATATATGCTAGAAGACGCAACTCGATCAAGATAATTAATTAATAAATTGAAAAAAAAAATAACCTATCACGATTCGTCGTCGTTTCTACTATGTCTTATAACATTTTAAATTTAAAATATATAATTAAATTTGATCTCCCTAAAAAGAGAAATCGAGACACTCGATTGAATTTTGAATGAACTCTCCCTTAACTTGTAAACACCATCTTTCATTTATATTAAAGAAATGAATCATTATTGATCAATCAATCCGTCATCTCATCAAATCTGAGCACTTCATTCTTATCTCCTTATCTTTTTTGTTTCCATGGAAATAACCTACAACAAATTAATCAATACTTTATAATCACTAACTCAGCTAAACGAGTTGAATAGCTAAGCCAGTAGCCATCCTGTTTCATTACTGTATTATTCATATTACAAGTTACAATCCAAAGTTTAAAAAAAAACCTAACCTCATCAAATAGAATCAACTCATTTTTTTTATTGATTCTATTCTCTGAGCACTTACTATTCCATGAGCGAATAAAAAAGATAAAGAAAAACAAAGTCCTGATGTTTATGAACAGTTTGATTTTGATTATTATTATTTTTGTTTTGTTTTATATCATTTCAATCTTCATCGGAGGATTCAGGGCACTTGTTCAAATCAGGCTTTGAGAAGACTAGACCGGGGTTCGATGATTCCGATGAAGTAGAAGCGTGACGATGATGTTGATGAAGTGAGCCGGTTTGTAGAGCGTCAACTTTAGCGCCGACCTCGGTTGCTTTCTTGCGTATGGAAGCGGGGGAGATGTACCTAAGTTCATCGTCATCTTGTAATATAAGGTCAGGGAAGTTGAGCCTAGCCGAAGGTCCACGCAAGTAGAAGACGGCAGTGTCGTAGGCACGAGCGGCGGCTATCGGCGTGACGTAAGAACCCAACCAAATCCTGGACCGCTTGTTCGGCTCTCGGATTTCAGCCACCCATTTCCCCCACTTCCTCATCCTTATCCCTCTGAATGGTTTCTCCTTTTGCTGCTGTTGTTGCTGGCCGCCTTGCACCTTTTGCTTCTCTCCGCTCGTTGAACTCGAACTCGAACAACAATCACCTCCCATTGAAATACCCTAAAATCTAAACTAAAAGAAACAAAACAAAAACCTTTTACGGATTTTTCAGTTTTCTCTTGAATTTAGAGATTGAAAGCCATAGCCAAAAAGCAAGAGATTGTTGAAGCTAGGTTTAATGAAAGATTACCCTTTGCTTCAAAAGCTATATATTCTCGATGTTTTTATATATATAATATAGTAGAAAAAGAGAGGAGAATGCAGAGGCAAGAAGCATTAGTTTTCCACTTGGCTGCAAATCTGTAATCAGGGAACGGCTGCCACGTTGATCTTACTTAAAGATAAATCAAAATTTGGCCGACAAAATCAATCAAACTCCTTGTCTTACTATTTCTATAATGCCTACGCTATAAAATAAGTTAATACACACACACACCACACACACATATATATATATATATATATATAGAGAGAGAGAGAGGAGTAGAAATATATCTAAGAGATTATTTTAAAAAAATTAAATTTATTAAGAGAGTAAGAGTATATTAATAGATCAGAAATTGATTGTTATGATTTCATCACTAGTAATATATTATATTAAAATCACAATAGATAATATATTAAATTTGTTACATGTGTTAGACATGTTATATGAACCAACAATGATATTGCTAAAATTCTAATGTTATTAAATCAGATTAATTATTTCATTCATACATGAAGTATATCCAATTCTCAGTTTCATAGATAATGTTTAAAAATTCTCGATTTCATACATGGTGTCTTCTTGTAACAAAGTCATAGTGAAGTTAAATTTTAAAACTCATAATTACCTTCCTCTCGTACACCAAAATGCAGTTTCCCAGAACCACATCCATAAGGACTTACCTTATAACAATGGGTATAGGAGCCAACCTAAGGGAGCATATTGGGGCCTCGGATCCTACCCAAGGGTCACCTTGGGTCCGTAAGGAATTACTAATTTGATCAGAGCTTAACCTCCATACTCCAGAATCTTACCCAAACAGTATCTCAATAAAACAATTCACATAGTAAGCAATAAATTCCATGATCCATAAATCAACATAATCATATTTTTCAGTAAAAACAAGTAACCAGATAACATATGTCAAACAACCATAGTTCGTAACCAGTAAATCAGTAAATCATAATGTCGAGTTGTTAAATGATTCAGTAAATAAGTAATTTCGATAATTCACATTTCAAAACAGATAAAAAAAATCATACAACACATAGGGAACACATCTATCAAAAAGGAATCAGTCGGCAAGTCTACTGAGCACCTGCCGCGCCAAGCCCTGCAGCAGTGTTCGAACCTAATTCATAATTCAACGGAGTTATTATCGGAATAATATTTTAATTTGAATATTTTAGAGTTTACGGATCATACGAGTTATCACTGGCTCACGAAGTTGAACGGATCGAGAGGAGCTGGGTCGAGCTATCGAATGGTTAGGAGAGTCTCGTGTACCTTCAAATAACAATATCTTAGATCAGTCATTAACCTTAATTTAATTATTCTTAAATAAAATACTTAAGTACATATGCATGTCCGGGTTCGACGGTCAATTCAGAGGTTTTCGGGTTTGAATTTGACAAAACGAACTTCGAATTAGGACTTAGAACATCGAAACACATAAAATATGTTTTTTTAGAAATTTTGACTTTTTTGTCAAAGTCTGTAACACTCTAACCCGTATCCGACCCGAATACGAGTCTGAGATGTCACATTGACTTTTTGAAACAATATTCTTGTAAAATAGCAAAACATTTGAACTTATTATAAGAAAATATAATAAAATACTATTAAATTATGCTTCATTATAAAAATTTGGAAAAAAATACATATTTATAAACAATACTATACGGTATGAACAGTACCATGAACAGTGAAAATTTTGAATATAAATTGTGTATCGATGCACTGCTACAGTAACTTTCGTAAAACGTTCATAAAACTCGTAAAAATTTAACCGTTCATTATTATACCTTTACTATGTACATATATACTTTAAAACATTACAAAATTCAATTATATAATTTTGCAAAACCGATTAGAGCATATCAGATTCAAATCTTTATTTACATGCCAACCACTATTATTATTACAAAATACATATTATTCAATTCTTTTCTAATATGATCTTTGGAAAGGAGAACTGACCTGTCTAGCTTAGCTTTTATCATTCTTCCTCTTCTCGGAACCTACGTGTGAAACAATCACACGCTAAGTCTATGACTTAGTGAGGCATATAAAACATATAATAAAAATAATGGATTTCATATCCATATTAACATATCTTCTATTCATTCAATCATGTCACATATAATTCCATGTAAATAATAATAGCATGATAACATGTAATAATGCAAACACTTTTATACCTTTTTGTAAGCCCATGTATGTAACACCCTCAGACCCGTACCCGACCCGAATACGATTCTGAGGTGTCACATTGACTTTTCAAACTTTGACTCTTGACAAAATTCAAAGAAAATTTAAAACTTTCATTAAAGTAAAAGCGGTTTATTTAAATAAATTAACCACATTAACCAAAATCGATCAGAACATATTTAACTCAATCAATTAGTACATGACAACTATATTCAAAATAACCAAACAAATTTAAATCATCTATTTTCTGATCTGAAACTTTGTAAGGGAGATGCTGACCTGTCTTGCTCTTCTTCGCTTCTCTTCTCGCTTCTGTAACCTAAGTGTGAAACAATCACACGCTAAGTCTATGACTTAATGAGACATTAAATTATAAAAGAACTCTAACTATTTACACATGCATGAACATATCATCTTATAATACCACATCAAAACAATATAACATTATATATAACATATACATATCACACATTATTTTAAATCTCTAACCTTAGTTCACTATCAATATTCTTATCATTTATATCTTATAATTATATCTTCTTATATCTATTTTTTTTCTTACTCAACATATTATTCAATTAACCAAGCAATACAGACATCATCATATAAATCATATCAGATTATCTACTAAGAAGTACATGTATGCATATAAATCATCATTAGTCACTTATCATTTAATCACATAGCACATATACCTAACCTTCTTAATCATATACTATACCTATACCTCATCATGTCCTTGCCATAAAATTTATCATATCACAATATATATTTGTTATCATTTCTTGATTAGCCCATGTACATATGTGAGAACTATTGATATGTGAGTCTCTAGAGGTTGTGCACTAATGCTGTCATCACAGCTCGTATAAATGCACCGAAGTGTCACGTAGAATTGCACCGAAGTGCCGCGTAGAATTGCACCAAAATGCCATATAAAATGTCCATAAAGACCACGTAGAAAATTCCTTAAGAATCATATACATATACAAAGGATCAAGTATGTGTCTCAAAAGACATCACACATGTTCCAAGGAATACATATATGTCCCGAAGGACCGCGTAGACCCTCAACTCTTGGCATGCCAACTATACCTCTAGCTCTCAAGACACAAAACATGGGCATTAATATTTATGTTTGTCACATATTCACACATTCGTATCAAATAGGCATATAGATCCCTTTCACATAGCTTATATCATACCTTCATGTATTCACACATCTCTTGTCACATGTCTTATTATTACATTTTTATAAGATCACACGTAGTCAAGTAGTTCATTTCCATATAAATCACACATACACGTAGATCACTTGCACGTAGAACATCTTCATAATACTCACATATCACATAGCTTATACTTGTTCTTATATCTTCTCATAACATATTCTCTTATAACTTTCTGTCATATCATTCTCACCATTTAATTTCACCTAATTCATAGTCATGTGGCTTATCTTATATACTTATATTCACATACCTTATAATTACCTAGTGTACTCCATCTCACACATAGTCGCATAATTACGAAATTTACTTACACATAGATCATTTCCATACCTAAATCATATAACATCCGATTCTTCCTCTTAAAGTTATATTATATATTCTTATAATCTTATATTAACCTATAAGTAAATACTTATCTTGTCTCATTTTTTCATTTATTCTCATAATTATTTATACCATAACATATATTTTATATCACATATCTAATATTATTTGTATAATAAGTTAATCTATTTATTTAGTTAAATTTTACATAACTCCTATACCATAACTCTCTTTAAGTATATTTCTTCTCTATAACACTTATCTTATAGTTTGACATCATCATTTATACTCAATTCCCTTCACTAATATATTATTCTCATATTACTCTATAGTCTAATCTTATTTAACTCATCGCCCTTCTCATGTAGTCATATAAATCTATTATATTGATTCTTATAATTGATCACATTTACTATGTAACATGTATGGTCACCTATCATATAACCTATTTCACATTCCCATGTAATCATATAGATCATTCATATTAATTCCTATAACTTATCACACTACATGTATTCACACAAATCATTTAATACATACTATAATATATATCGCATATACCCAAATCAAACATATACATATGATCATAAATTCATGCATTCTAATATAGGAAATAGACTCGTCGCAAGTATTATTTCCATTAAACATCATAAACTAACTCACTCACCTTGGCCTCACTAAGTTCCAATCCCCTTTTATGATTTTTCTCTCTTTCGATCGAATCTTAACTTGATAATCGTTCCGGAACTTGTTCGTGCTCGATATCTATATAATCATACATTGATACATATCAGTATCCAATTGATGTATTCTAATCTATCATTTCTTAGGCTAAAAGAAAGTTATTTTCATCTTTTAATAAAGGTATGCATCAATGCACTCTACAGTGTATCGATGCATTCCTTAACGTGTGCATCGATGCACTACATGTGCATCGGTACACAATTCACCTTCGATGTTTTATTCTTAAGAGGATGCATAGATGCACTCCTTATGCATCGATGCACTAATTGCATTCGATGTTCATTTATTTGAAAGTCCATCGATACACATTGAATGTGCATCGATACACTTTGCCCATAATTTGTATTTTACACCCGAAAATCCTTAACTCTTCCTTCAATTCTTCTATTTTAAGCCCCTATCATGTCATTAAACTCAACTACCATTACTTAAACCAACTTGTATTCATATAAACCATCTCTATCTTCCATATCTCATCATGATTCTTAAAATT